CACGGTGAGGCTCAAAAGCAGTCCATGCAGAAAAGCTCTCTTAATGACCCAGCCAGAAAGATCTGTCTCCCACCCCTGAATTCCCCTGGACCATTTTTTCCCACCTCAGCCTGCCTGGTATCATACTCATGTTCTCTCTGAAGGGAACTTGAGCTCTGAGCGGGCAGTGATTGTGGCTCATTCACTCTCATGCCCCTTCCCTACGCCCAGCACAGGGTGGTGGCTCTGGAATAGAGGCTGCAATGAAATGAACCAGGCTGATAGCAGGCATCGCAGATTACTCTCTTGTATCTTCACAAATCAACACCCAGAGGAGCCAGCAAAGCCAGGACAGACCCTGGGATCCAGGGGCTGCACTGTATACCTTTCCTGGCACAGAATTTCCCCAAGGCTCTAACACAGGTACTACCTCCAGCCCCTGCTGCCCTGACCACTGACCCATGGCCCAGTCAGACCCCTTGTGGGCTGAACAAGCCTAGGGGCAGGTCTCAGGACTTGCTTTGCCTACTTTAAGTAGACAGAATCTTCTAGTCCACAGAAAGAGGCAGATTTTCCAAGGTGCTTCTCACAGCCTGGTCCACTGTATTAGAATCACCTAGGGTGTGGGTTAATGCAGATTCCTAGGCCTGGCTCAGCCTTTCTGAATCAGAGCCACTGAAGTAGAGCCATGGAATCAATATTACCAATAAATACTCTGGTTCAGTCCTGGTTAAAGGTCTGAGAGCCACATTGCCCAGTGAAAATTCTGGCACCACCATTTACTAGCCCTTAGGCAAGTCCTTTAACCTTGCTATCTTGGTCTCTGTGTCTGTAAAATGGAGATAATAACGGTGCCTGCCTTGCAGGCCAACTCTTGGAATAAAATTATTACTGTTATTATTATTTTAGGCGAAGCAATTCTTGGTTAACCTCACAGATTGCAAGGACCTTGTCAGCTTACGATCCCTTATTTTTTTATTTTTTACGCCTACAGCACCTGGTCTTCCTAGGTGGTCTCCCATCCAAGTACTAACCAGGCCCGATCCTGCTTAGCTTCTGAGATCAAACGGGATCGGGCTCGTTCAGGGTGGCATGACCATAGACTTGGAATAAAATTAGATCATGAAACTGAAGTGCCCAGCACAGTGCCTATGCAAGCTCAACAAATGTGGACACAGCCATATTCTCATACCCAAGGACTAATGAGTGAGGGGTAGATCCTTGATGCTCTTTTGCAGGGAAGGACCTTGGTGGGGGTCCTCTACGATGTAGGCAGCAGGAAGACTTGGAAGGGCAGGACCCTGGCCCAAGATGTCCTACCACCTAGTGGCTGGCGTAAGGGACTACACCCAGCTTTCCCACCTCTACCTAGCTGAGGTCCAAGGCTCTGCTTGCCATAGCTTCCACCCTGCCTCCCAGCCTGCTGGCAGCCTCCTTCCCTGCCCCGCTACCCTGGGAGTCTGACTGGCCCGGTGTCAGCCCTGGCACTCACTCCAGCTTTGTAATAAAATAGCCAGCTCGGGTCAGCTTTCCTTGGCAAGGATGCCACCTGGCACAGAGGGCAAGAGGGAGGGGAAAGCCTGGGGAAACATCTCCTTCAATGACCACCAATTATAGTCTGGTGTTCTCCAAGGATCACTTGCTCCCCAAACTAGGTGACCCCTGGGACAGGAACCTTCTTATTTGTCTTTCTTTCTTTCCTAGTCCTTCATTATTCATTTATTCATGCATTTAGTCATTCAATATTGAAATGTCTATTGCATGTCCTGAAGGCACTGGGGCTCAATGGTGATTACAAGGATTGGCAAACTTTTTCTGTAAAAGACCATATAGTAAGTATTTTCAGCTTTGGAAACCAAACTACTTTGGTGTTGTAGCAAGACAGTACCTTTAGACAATATATAAACAAATGGGTGGATGGGGCTGTGTTCTGATAAAACTTTATTTGTGGACACCAAAATTTGAATTTCATATAATTTTCATGTGCCATGAAATATTCTTCTTTTGATTTTTTCCCCAACCATTTAAAAATGTAGAAACTATTCTTAATTTGCACACCTTACGAAGCGGGCCATAGCCAGTGCATCATAGCTCGCCAGCCCCGAACTTAACCCTCCATACAGATCATGGGATGTGCCACGCCCTGTTGGTGCCAATATTGCTAAGAGAGAGACAAGGCCTTCGAAGAGGCTCAGCAAAGAGGTGGAGAAGCTTCCAAGCCCACCGCAATTCAGCCACTGCAGCCCTCCCAGAGGCCACCCTCTTAGTGCTACATATGTTTTCTGTGGTTTACATATGGGGACTCTTAGGTCTCTTGCAGGACCAGAAGCTTTTTGAGGGCAGGAACATCACTCTTTTAGCATTTGGAGTCGGAAATCACCTGGGTTCAAGTACCAGCTTGATGACTCCCTAGCTGAACGTCCTTGGGTGAGTTACATAACATCTCCATGCCTCAGTTTCCTCATTTGTAATACCTATCTCATGGGTTGTTGAAAGGATAAAAGAATATAGTCCTTAGACAAGTGCCTGACATGGATGGAGTCAGTGGTCAGCACGCGTTGACTCTCATTGCAGTTCCTTCACCCCTACTCACCCCGGCACCCAGCATGGCTCTGGGCTCCATCTCTCCTTGATAAGTCCTAATTTTCAGAATGAGATTAAAAAAAAAACCAAGACTCTCTGCCCAGAAGCCCCTTGGGGTCTGTACCCTGGACTCCTTGGAGGTTTTGCCCTTTAGACTTAGCTTAGAGCATTTCCCTTTGGTTTCTTTGTCCCCAGCAAAACGATCCCCTTGTCCCTCCCAGACAAACTGACCTGGATACCCAGAGTTAGGAGTATATAGACATGAAGAGCTCTTGGCTGGCTCACCTCCAGGGATGAACTGTGGAGAAGGCGGTTGCTTGGCTGGGGATAAAGGGAGCAAGAGCCTACCTCACCTGCCAGCCTAAGGTCCATGGGAGTGGGCAGGCTGCCAGATCAATGCCTTGGGCATTTCAGCCCTTAGCCTGAATACCTCGACCTTCTAACACTTTGCTCTCCTCTCCAGGTACACTCCTTTCTCAGGTGGGTGCCCAGGTGGCTCTGCCTTCCAGAACAGCACCTTTCCCTCCCTTCCAAGAGCCTCTATGCCTTCTCTGGTTTCATTCTTTCATAGCACTTATCACTATGTGAAATTTTATTGTTTGTTTATTAGAGTTGTTTTTTTATTTTTATTTTTTAGTCCCCCTTCCACTAGAACTTAAGCTCCTTAATGGTCAGACTTTTGTCTACTTTAATTTTTATGCTTACCTTCACAGGACAGATAATATCCTCTATTTAATAGTTAAGCATACTGAGGTCACCAATTAGTGAGTAATAAAATGAGAATTCAGAGCCAGGTCTTTCTCATAGTCAAAAGCTCACACTCTGAGCCTCCACCATAAGACAGAGCTTTATCAATCTGGCAAGATGGGGGTAGGAGAAGTATAGAGGCTTTGAGCCCCGTCATCTGTTTCCAGCAACAGGTCAGGAGGCATTTACGGGAGTCCTTGGAACTTTCTCTGCCACTGTTGCAGGAGGCAAAGCCAGACGTGCTTCGCATCTGCCTCCTTGGAGCTCACAGGCTATTTAGACAGAGACACCTATTCTAGTCTCTTCATTGCAAAGGAGACTGTGCTAAGAGCTATAAAGGGGTACGAAGTGCTTTACAGGTGCTGTCATAGTCTGTTCAGGCAGCTGTAACAGAATACCATAGACTGGGTGGCTTAAGCAACAGGAATTTGTTTCTTGCAGTTCTGGAGGCTGAGAAGTCCAAGATAAAGTGTTGGCTAATTCAGTTTCTGGTGAGACCTCTGTCCCTGGTTTGAAGACAGCTGCCTTCTTGCTACCATCCTCACATAGTGGGGAGAGAGTTTTTGTTTTTTCTTATAAGGCCACTAACTCCATTCACTGAGGGCTCCACCCTCATGATGTAATTACCTCCCAAAGGCCCCACCTCCAAATACCATCACACTAGGGATTAGGGCTTCAGCATATGAATTTGAGGAGGACCCAAACATTTGGTCCACAGCAGGAGCTGACTGTGGTACTCAGAAAAGTCAGGTCAGTGAGGCCTGGGCGGGTGGATGGGCCTCCATCATGGAAGGCACTTTGGGCAGAGAGAGCAGCACTAGCAAAGGCAGATGAGACAGAGCCTGTTTGAGGAACATTACAAGCTCCGAATGGCTAGAGCCTAGAGTGTGTTGGGAAAGGATAGTGATTGTATGAAAAATGGTTGATATGGTAGGTTAGGGTCGAATCACAAAAGGCCTAAAAGAGATTGGGGAAGATTGGGCTTCCTAGAGTCTGCATAGCGGATAATAAGAACACCAACAGAACAGCTGATTGTGTGTTGGGTGCTTTACATTTTACAAAGCACTTCCTGTTTATTCTTCTGCTCTGTCCTCACAATTGGTAGCTTGCAAGCAAGAAAGGTACATTTAGGATCAGGAGCCTGGGGTCTGCTCCATCCAGGTACAAGATGTGTAGATACAAACAAGTCACTTCATATCTCCAAGTCTCACTTCACTCATCTCTGACAACAGGGCCCAATTCTCAGCACTTTAGGAAGGATTACACAAAACCACACATGCGAAAATTCTGTATTTAACTTCCTTCTGGTCCTCAGTTCTTTCTCTGTAAAGTTGGGTCAATTCCTGTTCAGTCTAATTCACGGTGCTGTGGCTGCGATTTCGTAGGCAAAGGCGAAATGGCAAGGATCTTATTAGTGAGGTCAGGGAGGTTAGTGTTTTTTGGGTGGTAGTCTGAGAGCCTCAGAGAAGGGGCTTTGGCTACTTTAACACGTCTTTTCGAACCTGTCACTATTTAACTTATTTGAGACAAGTGGGGATAGGCACAGAAAGCGCAAAGTAGAAAAAAGGGAGAAAAGAGGCGCAGGAACACAGATGGGTTCCAACCCCGCCCACTTAAAAGGCCCGAGCTTCTGGTGCCCCGCCTTCCTCCACCAATCAGCGAGCGAGCTGCTCCGTGACGCTATCTGCTCGCGACGAAGCCGCCCGGCGGCGGCGTTTCCTGGGCAAGGAGACCGGGCACGGAGGCTATGGGCAGCCAGGAGGCGCTGGGCCAGGCGGCCCGGCTGGCCTCCTCCGGTCTGCTCCTGCAGGTACCCTTTGCCCGGCCCGCCCCAGGCCGTCCTGCAGCCGGGATTCGCTGGGATCCCGCCTGGGGCGGACTCAGTCCCATTGTGGATAGCGCTACGGAGGGGTTCTGTAACAGGAGGGGTTCTACAACCGGAGGAGGTTGCCGCGGAGAGGAGACTCCCGGGCTCGGAGTTGGGAACTTGCGTTCAGTGTCCTGGCTGGGAGGTTGCAAACAAGCCACTTTCCTTTTAAGAATTATAGTTCCTATATGGCAGCAGGAGAGAGTTAGGTGGCAGAGGCACCTGTGGTGCTCTAGAATCTGATATTTTTTTAGGGCAAGGTGTTCATTTTCTCCATGTCCCACCCTTTACCCTCAAACACCTTTCTCAAACTCAGACTCCCACTGAGTTCAGAGAAACAATATGGCATAGCTAAGAACAGAGACCTTGGCTCAGGCAAGCCTGAATTGAAATCCTAGTTTTGCCATGTTCTTGGTGCATGACCCAGAAGGAGTGATTTTACCTGCTAAAATCAGTGATCAGCTCCTCATCAGAAAATGGGGGTAATAATAGTACCTAGCTTATACGGTTGTTCTTAGGCCAGATTCGGGTTATTCAGATAATTGCACTTAACACAGTACCTGGCTCTTAGTATGTGTTTAGTATATGTTGTCTGTGTCCCATCTGGTTGTTACCTTGGACCAGTCACTCCCCCTTCTTGGCCCTATTTTTCATCATCTACCACATATGGTACGTGCCATTTGGTCCAAATGGTATCTAAAGATTGTTTTAACTGGTCATCCAAAGTCAAGCAGCTCAGTTTCTCTGTCTCTTGAGCCATTCAGCCCTTCCTCACAAAAGTCCCGAATCCATCTCCCCATAAATTTTAGAGAGGCAACATTTCACATGGAGGTTAGGAGAAAGAATCAGGCAGACTTGGGCTCAAGTTTGTCACTCGCTAGATGGCTGCCCTTGGGAAAATCTCTTCTCCAAGCATCATTTTCCTCATCTTAAAAGAGAACAATACTGCAACCTCATAGCGTCATTAAGGAGATTAGATGAAATGCTTGTTACATGCATGGCATGTAATTTAATAAATTTATTAAAAAGTAATAAATGTTAGCTATATTTATTATGGGCATTAGAATTTTTTAAATGGTCATTGTAGAGATGAAATTAGATAATCTGCATAAAACATGTAGAGTACCTTGCACAAGATATGTGCTTAATAAACATTAGCCATTCACCTAACCCTAAATTAGGTGAACCCTAAGTTTACCTAGTTTTTCTCTATTTTGCAACATAACTGATTCAGTCCTTTATCTATAGTGTTGATTGTTCAACCTTACTATCTAGATTGGCTTTATAAAAAGAAAACAAGTCATAGCAGAAACTGTACTAAGAGTGAGGTGGCCTTCCCATAAGGTCAAGCTGGGTCCTTTGCTTGTTGTGTAACGTTGGACAACTCACTTTTCTCTGAGTCTTAACTTGCTTCATGTGCATTTACCTAATTGCTTTTAAGGGTCATATGATTAACAGATGTGAAAGAGCTTTTCTTAAACTAAATTCCTTTACAAAGTGAAGACTACTGTTAATAAGGGTTACTATGTGGAGCAAACACTGGGTATCATGACCAACCTCAGCTTCATTAGCTCAAACTTTTATTCAAAACAATTAGGAGATAGGGATAAGCCTGAGACATTAACTTTCTGAGAAAAGGATAACTTTGACTTTGAACATAAACACATGTTTATGTGGTTTTTAAAAAATAGCCATAATCTTTAGGTTTCTTGAGTGTTTTAATTCAGTCTTGTATGCTTTCTCAAATTACAGTGCAGACACGAGGTAGCTTTGCAATTACATTGTAATCTGCAAAAATTTGAGAGTTTATTCTCTGTCTTAACTCTGATCTGGCCATAGTGAAATTATTAATGCCTTTCATTTGTATACATTTTTCAAAAATGGTTTCACCTACACAATTTTGTTTGATCTTTGTTATCAATCCTATGAGATAGTCAGCCTCATTTGACAGAGGAGGAAATTGAGGCTTATAAACATTGGAGGATCATGGGGGCTAACAGTTAAATGGTGAGTTAGACTCTCAGTCTTGTCCACTAACGGCTCTATGAATTGGCTTCAAACCTCTAAAATTGAGTACAGAATTTGGTGTGTGTGTGGGTGTGGGGGTGTGTGTGTGTGTATCTGCATGTTTCAGAAGAGCTACAGAGCTTTCACCAGATTCTCAAAAGGTCACATTTGACTCTAAAGGTTAAGATTGTGATATCTTGGCTTTGGAGACCTTGCTGCTCTGTGACACTTCAGGGACAGTGTTAAACTGCACTCTCCCTTTTTGGTCATACCTTTCTCTGGAGATTTTTAGACCTTAGTGGTTGCTTGTCATACTCTGAATCTTCTAGATTGCAGCTGTTCATGGGTAACTCCGAGAGTGCTAGACATAGAAGTGATTTGTCATTTGCATTTGAGTGCACTTGAGTTACTACCTGTCGTGCTGCCAGGATGCAGGAGAGTCACTTAACAAGTGAGGTTTGCACACCAGCCAGCATCCCCATTTAGCAACCCCATTTAATTGCAACATGTTCTCTGTCTCATGGAAAGAATTCTTTGCTAAGGTGTTTTTCTTGAATTGACAAGTTTAAAAGTCTCAGGATGTAGCCCTTTCAAATGGCAATAGCTAGACTCTGTCTCCCTTTCCCCCCATTTTATATATCTTATTACCAGAGTTTTCATTTAAAAGGTATTTCAACTCCTCTCTGGAAAGTGGCAAATATTCAGTAAATAAATACAGCCTTTTCTGCTTTCTAATTGAGAAAACTGAAGTTCAAAGAGATTAAATGTCATTATCAGAATCCCCAGATGGTACTAGGCAGAGAAGAGAGAGAAATTAGACCCTGTGATTTCTAGACCCTGTAGGGTCCCACTTGCTAAGTGTGTGCTATTTCTAAACAGGCTGGAGGAAGGGCCGATGTGAAGCACTATCTAAAATTCTCTTTCTGCCTCCTAGAATGCCTGACTTGAAACCCAAAGAAATTCCTTGAATTTGTCAGGGCCTCCCTCTTCTCATCAGTAAATAGGGTTTACAGATGGGTTCTCTGACCACTGCTTTCCAGGGTTCTTTAACCACGGCCTGGACATGTCAAGAGACCCCAAGGAATGAAATTTTGGAAGAAATACAGACAGGTTGCGTATTTTAGAGAAGGTCTCTATGGCAAAGCTGCTGTATGTCCTTACACTAGGAAGAGTAGCCACATTGTTTGCATTTCAGCAAAGTAAACACTCCCAATGTAATTTATTCTTACTTATTTTTTTTCTTTTTCTGTAGGTGTTGTTTCGATTGATCACCTTCATCTTGAATGCATTTATTCTTCGCTTTCTGTCAAAGGAAATCGTCGGCATAGTGAATGTAAGGTAAGAAGGGATATGCTCTGGCATTGTCCGCAACTCACATCCCTAGTCAGGTGTCCTTCAAACTCTGTGCCTGTATGTCACTCTTGGGTTTTAGAAGCATGGACTTCTACTTCTACTAGAATCAGAATGTTTTATCAGTGGGCTGAGGAGGAGCATGCTGGGGTGGGGGAATGAGCAGGCAGTGTTTCTTTTAATGGACCCATGGAGTGTTTTCCATTAGCAGCCTCCAAATGCATATTTCTCTGCCGCTGTTCCAAATTGCCTGCTTTTAGAACCCAGGAGAGGAGTGGGAGTAATTCATTGCAAACACTATCTCAGGTATAATTCTGTGTTCTTGTCCTGCTGACAGCAAAGGAAGCAGG